GGAATGCAGGACGGGACAGGACAAGGCAATTACCACTGAATGAGCAGAAGTTGGCTTGTAGACATAATACAATAATGTAGGCCATTACACATAAATAATAAAGTACCTAATACAGTACTAGTTGTAATCAGATAAGCCTATTGGGAAGATTACAGGACTACTTAAGGTAATGATCTTCCTTTAGCTAGAAATAGGCCAATGGTAAGCATTTGTTGGAGTTATAATTCAAAATATTTGGAAGGTACAGGCTGCCAAACTGACTGAGTTGAAGAAGCCACTGGAGCCATCTGGAGCAGCTCATCTTCACTGTATTAAGGCTACAGTTATGATCATTAATCCATATAATCTTATCAATACCATGAAGGTTGGCCTCTTGGATGCTAGAGTAGCCCTTACAGATCCTGGAAACTTGAGGGATAGAATCCCGAGATACGATCGTTTTTTGTTTTTTTTTACCATACCAACCAGTATCTCTCAGATGCAGCAGCATCAACTTTGAAGGTGTGAGCATTATTTTAATAAATGTTACTACATTATTGTGCTCTTGAGGTTCTGAAGCATCAAGCTGAGGCCTTTCACTGCTTTCTCCACAGAGGGAGCTCTGATTAGATAAGCAGAACATATAAGCAAACATAAACGTGGACATACTGGGACCCAAAGCATTCTACAACATATGTCAAATTTTTCAACTTTCAATTTCCAAACATTAGGGGTGCTGAAAAGTTGTGACATGCCTTGGAGATTGTAAAGATATTTTGATTACTTTAATATAATTTAGATGTGCTTGGTAAATAACTACATAAATATCATAACTTTTTAATATTTTGTTTGTTTCATAAGGACTGTCATTACTTCAATGAATTTTCTAGGTGTTGAGGCCAATCTAAAGACAGTGCTTTCAACTGGAACTTCTTATATGAAATTTGAGGTCAATGATAAGTCCATTCAAATAACTAACAACAAAAAGAAAAAAAAAAGGCTGGTAAAGAGAAAAGCTTGCATTTCTTCCCTAAAAGTAGAGAACATGGGAGCTGAGTGTAACTGCAGAGGGGTGGAGTAACACAGAAAAATACATCCCCCTCCCCATGTGCCACAGAAAAAAAACTCAAAAAGTGGACAGAACTTGAGGATGGTCTTTAATGACCAGGCACGTTTATAGCAAAATATACCTCAGACAGTCAGACTCCAAGCTATTTAGGGTTTTGCAGTAAAAACAATCCCTTAAATTATGCCCAGAAAATAATTGGCTATCTGTACAAGACTTTTAATATCATCTGGCATTGTGCACTATGTAGAAACTTGGCCACTGATTTTTGGATTGAAATTCACGACAGTCATTATGGGCAGCTCCATGAAGACCACACTGCAGGTGTTATGTAACTTGAAAAAGTTACTATTTGTAACTTGAAAAAGAGATGACTCCCTTTCTCTAAAAATTAAATTATTTTGGCCTGTGAATTGCCCAGAAATAAGGGGGCACTTGTGTAATGCCAGAAAGTGAACAACATTTTATAAACATACATATTTCATTCTTTTCCATATCAGATTGTAGGCTCTAGTAATCATCTTTCTATTTCAGTTGCTACAGAAGCTTTTTCCGATTTGTGTATGCCACTCAGCCTTTTAGGAGCATGTCCAATAGAATTTCACAAATATCCATATTTTTGCAAATATCAAACTAATGATTTATGCGTATTAGTATATCACTGTGATCCAATCTGAAATTCTATTTATGAAAAATATTATAGTATATTACAATAGAATTTGTACCTATGCCTCAGATTACAGTCTCATGATAACATAATAAAACAGAGCAAGCGTATTTGTTTAGGTCAATTAGAGTATTTGTAATACATATGTTAACAATGAATAAACATCATAAAATAGAAAATTATTGGAGATCATCCCACTCAATTGAAAAATCTGCAGTGCATAGGGCAATGACCCCAATTGTTCAAGTCTTTGCTGAAATGGAAGCAATCATCTTCCAAAATAATCCATCTGTAAAAACCTGGGAGAAGGGGGAAAGCATCTTTACCTCCAAACACTAAGCATGCTGCGGCACCATCTGTGTGATCCACATTTATTAAACTTGAATTTAAAGGAACCCAGGGCTAACAATTGCATAGAAGAAGAAAGCATTGTTCCAAAGCTTTCCTTTTCCTTCTTAAGTACCAGTAAGCACGCACGCACGCGCACACGCACACACACACACAGAGTGGGTTTCAAATCCCATTGCTACTGGTTCGCTTGCGTGCACGACGCTTCTGCGCATGCACAGAGACATCCAGGCGGGTGGGTAGAGCCTCCCACCATCGCCACTACCAGTTTGCCTGATCTGGGGCGAACCAGTAGCAACCCACCCACACACAAATATCTCCAGCAGTTTAGCACATGGGTAAGACATTTCCTGTATACAGAGCAGTGAAATCAGCTTCAATGCCAGTTAGAAAACATTAAAAATTCCTGAAGAAAAAAGTCAAAAACAATCAACTATCATTTAAAATAAAACTTTACTAATTAATACTTGTCAGGTTTAGCTGCTTTACTTATTAGGAATCTTGAAATTTGAGAATACCCTGAATACTACATTCAGCTTTCACTCTCTGCTAGCCTCCTGGAGATACAATAATCCAATAGGGACTTTCCTTGGGAGGTGAAGGTAGTTTGGAAGAAAATTCAAACTGACCTATCAATGATATGGATTCCATGTGTTTTGGGTGATTTCTACACCACCTGTCTAGAATAAGGTTGGATGGAGGAAAATTATACTGGGTTGTAGATTCACGACACTTTTTGTCCAAACTCGCCTTGCGGTGAGATGGGCAGCAAACGAATTTAATAAGTAGTCTTTGACTGCAGTCATGATCTAAAAAGTGGGGAGAATTGTCTGCATCCTTCCAAAAGCTCTTTCAGAATTTTCTAATATTTAGCTGAAATCTGGATGCTTAGAATGGATGCAGTGCTTCTAATCCTACCATTCCATGCCCCATATTTACAAATCTCAGGCCATTTCTGCATCAGAGTTTCACATGTAGAGACATTTTTTCCATTTGAACTTCGCCAAACATAACACATACTCTTTCAACAGATATATGAATCGCTTTTCAAAACTCTTATAATCATGATTACTTTCATTGGATGTGCTCTAGTTTGTCATCCACAATTAGTGACCTAGTACAAGGGTACCTACAATGTTACATCCATTATTGGAAACAGCACTCCAAAGGTGTCCTAATAAACCCAACTTTTAATCTGGTGATCTGAATATTATTCGTTTACCAAACTACCTTATGAGTGTTAATTGGTGCAATATCATAGATGTAAACTGTGCACTTAATTTGAACCTTCCAGCAATTTCTTGTTGTATAAAAAAGTCTTCAGTAAACAATTTCAAATATATTGGCTATACCATGAAAATATACTGCTTTCAATGTTGCTGGTTAACAAGACTATGAGGAAAGGTAGGGGCTTTCTATAAACACTGACAAGAATCCCCTTCCACGTTTTAGAAAAAAACAGAATATCCATCCCTTTATTAAAACATATACAAAAAAAAGACACTAACATATAAAAAGCAAAGAAAGCAAAGCCCATTAATATGGGGGGTGGGGTGGGGGAGAGAAGCAAGGAGGAATAATTCAGATGACAACCCCATTGTAAAATATTAAGTGGTAACAGAGCTTCCAATCACAAACAATAGGTCTGAAACAAACCAGGTAAATCCAGGTCAAATAAGAGATGCAACTATATTTGAGCTGTAAATCAGTTGGGACTAAGAACTGACGCCCAAGAGAAAAGTCTAATGTAGCTATTCATTAACTACCCCCCCTCCCCAACATTGCCTGCAAGCACAATAATCCTTATTTTTGTTAGTAGCTTTAGCTACATTTCTTTCTCCTCAACAAAAGCATGCAACATAAACATTAGAAAAGATGGTGAAAGATCTTTAGCACAAACAATGTTTTGTTACAAAAAGGTCATAATACGAGAATTTGAAATCTACCCTAATACAAATTTACAGAGATGTTCCACCCGTTTTAGGACTTTGTATGGTGCTTGTTAAAATTACAGCCTTGTAAAGATTTACTACCTTCAGTCATTGCCTCCACTGCAAGAGGAGAGCAGGGGTTAGTTTATGGTGGCAAAAAACAACAACAACAAAAAATAGCACTTTTCCCCACTAACACATTCGATTAAAAGGCACTAGCTTTTGTAAACTGCAGCACACTTCATCACATGGCTGGACTCTTTGGGGAGGAACGGAAGACAGGATGCAGGTAGGTCGGTCGGTCGTGAGGAAGATTACAAATATATCCATTAAGAATCATACCGCGTCAAAAAAAAAAAAAACCCAAACAAAAAAACCACCCTATCAGCTTATCGAGACCTTCTGAGACGGTCTGAAACCTTTCGATGCGAGTTTCAATTTTTCTCTCTCAATGTTAAAATCCCAACGCTTTTCCAAAACAGCCTTCAGTCGGACTCCCTTTATGTGCACAAGGTGAAGCGGCAGAAGAGGGTCGCCTGCGCTCTTTTTTCCTTCCAAACCTTTTACAAAGAGAGAGCGGCTACGTAACAGTGGCATTTGCCCTGGGCTTCATTCAACGGCCAGAGATCGCCTCCCTTTCCCCTTTTCCTTCTGCACTGAATCCCCACCCCCTTCTCCAAGGAGATCCATCGCACCGAAGGGCAGAGAAGCATGTAACCGACAGAAGAGACGGTCTTTAGCTGGCCGGACTCCGGAGGGACACGTACCTGCAGGGTATTAAGCATTTCCCTCCGAGGGGGCCTGGGAGTACCTAAACAGGGCTGTCGGGGGGGGGAGGGGGGAGATCGGGAGGCGGAAACATCCAGGCCACGCGAAGGGACGGCAGCAGCCTCCCCCAGCGAGGGGTCTTCCAGATGGCCGCCCTGGTTATTAACGGATTAAGGGCTCGACTGGGGAGAGGAATATACAGGAATCCTCCATGGCGAAAAGATGTTTTTTTGTTTTTTACCTCTCGTCTTCCCCGAATGAGTTCAGACACAAGGCACGCAGGGCGAGGAAGGAAGGAAGGAAGGACGGACGGGTCAGCCTTGAAGAAACGGAACAAGCCTTTCCCACAACCCCACAGCGACTCTCACGACGCAACCCGGAACGTACCTCTACAGGGAAGACACCGCGCAGGTGATGTTCAACCTCCAACAGCAGCAACAGCAGCAGCATGTGTAGAAAAAAAAAAGACAGACAGAGAACTGCGCAAGCGCACTGCGCCCCAATGCGCGTCTCCCCGGCTGGCGCGCAACCGCAGTTCTTGGTCAGTCTTTTAACAGAAGAAAAGGGGCAGATTTGGGTTGAAAGGGGAAGCGGGCCTCGGGGACAGGACAGGGAGAGGCTGAGGCGGGAGGGGGCGGGTCGATGGGAAGGGGAGAAAGTTTTGCCTTCGCGCTGAAGGGCGACATAGACGACTCGACGGTGCGATGGGAGCGACTCACCTGTTGTTTTAGGGATGAGGAGAGCCGGGTTCACATGATTTTAGTGATTTTAGGCTAGTCCTTTACTTTCTGCACAAGTTGCTTCTTAGGAGGGGATTTTTAAAGAGCAAGCAAGATAGAGATAATCGAGCGATGGGAGCGATGAGGTCTGGAGCTCTTAAAAGAAAAATACATATAAATAAAATTACTACGTTAATGGAGGTGGGGATAGATGGCTTATGGTGCTGTGTAAAGATAACAGGTAACAGTAACAGAGTTGGAAGGGACCTTGTTAGCTTAGCTAGGGGAGCTAGGTTTCTGTTGTAGTTATTTCTTACTCTTCCACATAGACTATCAATTTATGGATCACAGGCTTTCTTATTCAATCTGCTTTTGGATTATGGATTTCCTGTCTGGCGCTCTCAGAGGGTCAGATTAGGGAATCATATCTCTTCATCCCTTATTCTTAACACTGGTACACTACAGGGTTGTGTGTTGAGTCCCTTACTCTAGTCCATTGATGTCTAACCTTTTTGCCGTTTGGTGCCAAAAGTGGGGGAGGGGGGGTCACGCGCGGGCATGCCCATACCCGTAATTCAATGTGCTCCATCCCCCCATGCATGCACGCACAACCCCCACTTTTGGCACATGATGGCATGGTGGGCCTGGTAGGCCCATTTTTCACCCTCCCCAGGCTTCACAGGCTTTCTAGGAGCCTGGAGAGAGTGAAAACAGCCTTCCCGACCCTCCCAGAGGCCCTCCGGAGGCCGGAAACAGCCCATTTCTGACATCCGGTGGGACCAGAAGGCCCTTTTTTAACCTCCCCAGGCTCCTAGGGATTCTCTGGAGCCTGGGGAAGGCAAAAAAGGGTCCCCCCCCCCCCCGAGGCCGGAAACAGCCTGTTTTCCGACTTCCAGTGGGCCTGCCATATCAACATACTTAACTGCTGATGTTTTCTTTCTCATTAGTTATTTCAAGAAACAATGAGTAGCTAAAATCGTTTGATCTAATGGCCTTACTAAGAATCAATGGAATCTATGCTATTTAGATAATAATAGTTCTGTAAACAGTCTGGAAAAGACTGGATTTAAGTATTGTAGTCGTTTTAGAGAACTGTCTTAGAATAGCCAAAATATAACTGTTGAGAAACCATTTACTGTCTGACCTACAAAAAGAACAGAATTGTTTAGTAAGAATTGGAAGCTCAGGGTTCTTTTGCTGTCACCACTGAGCTGTAGCAGTTTTATATGTAGCTTTCTTCAAAGTATTTGCTACACAAAAAAATTCTAAATTTAAATCCATGGATAGAATGATATGACCAACGGAGCTTTCTCATAACCAAAGCAATAAAACCATTGTTAAACAAATAATTATGTTTGATATATCATCCTAGCCATTTAGGGAATATATGAAAAGAGCAAAATATTACGAATCACATGTGAACTTTACAATTGATATTATTACAGAGGAAGATTATTATGCAAGAGCAAGTAGATTTTTTTTTCTTTTTCGACCCAGTAATTAAATTAAAAATGAACTTTAAAATCAGTGTTATGGATATGTCCAGAGTCAAACTCATCCATGAAAACTCACTGGGTAATTCTGGTTCACTTGGTATTTCTCAGCCTAATTTACTCAGTGCTACTATTGGAAGAGAAAACAGATAATACTATACATATTTCCTTGAAGCTATATACGAAAGATATATACATCCAGCAGTTTGGCAGTTTGAGTGTCACAGGCTCAAGGTTGACTCAGCTTTCCATCCTTCTGAGGTCAGTAAAATGACCGGATTGTTGGGGGCAATATGCTGACTCTAAACCACTTAGAGAAGGCTTACTGTAAAGCACTGTGAAGCAATATGTAAGTCTTAAGTGTTATTGGTATTTATTTGTAGCCTGCCTTTATTTAATTTTTACAAATAAGGCGGCAAACATATCCACATATCTTCCTCTTCCTATTTTTGCAACAACAGCCCTGTGAGTTGGGTTGAGCTAAGAGGGTGACTATCCCAAAGTCACCTAGCTAGTTTTCATGGCTAAGGTGGGACTTGAACTCAAGCTTTTCCACTTTCTAGGCTGGTGCCTAAACCACTAGACCAAACTGGTTCTCATGCCATTCCAACTAGTAACATAAACAAAATGTATTCTGCAATGATCTTAGGATATATTTATATGAAATTTAGATTTCTGCTTTGCATTATGCAGTGTCTCAGATAGATACCCCCAAATTAAGGCTTTTGTTTTTATTTTATGCTGTTCAAATAGTAATGAAACAAACTGGCTCTTCCTAGATCTAAATACTTTCTATTAATTAATCTAATAAATTAAACTAACTACAGTGCAACTTAAGGGAGTTTTTATTTAATTCATAGCCAAATATGATATTAACCTATCCACATACTGTACAAAATGAAGCTTCTGACCATATTCATTTGCAATAATTGACAAGGATGGGAACGCCCATTAAAAAGTCAAATAGATAAAAATAGAAGATAAATATATACATTGAGTAAATATAATGGTTTTGAAGCCAGTGGTGGTTTCAGTTGACTAATAAATAGTTAACTTGATAAGAAATGCATTGTACTATTCTTATTAAGAGATTAAGTACACTGTATATTTTAACAAAAATGTTTAAAATTGTCTTCTGAAATTATAAATTTTATTTTTAAATGATATGGGAATCTGTAGACTTAGAAACAATAATTTAATTTAAAGAAGACCACTCTGATTGATAATACAGGCCATTTTCAGTTATAGTCTACTTTTTTACAATCATAATAGATCTGATGCCTGCTAACCAGTAGTTAACTCTTGTGTGGCAGTTTATTTAAATGCATTTTAAATACATGGTCTGAGAGCTGAAGGTATGTCAAATTATAGGATCCTTCATGTCTGCAAAGTAATAGCAGAAAGGTCAGACATTTATTTATTTAGTGTATAGCATACAATGTCAGGGAAATTTACAAATGCTAGACACAATGCAGTCTTGACAGCCTTCATCGCTAGTTCATTCTGTTCAGCATTTGCCTGCTTATGCTTGGTGCACCAAAGGGAGAAAACTAGTTTACACCAGCTGACTAGCAGAGCTCAGGTTGCTGGCTCTTCCAGGCTCCTCTGCCAGTCTTGCCTCGCCTCGTATTATGTTGCCTCATGTCGGCCAGGTCCAATGCCAACTTCTGCTTTCTGCACACACACGAACGCAGCAAGGTTTTCCCCACCAAAATGGTACCTATTTATTGCTTGCTTTCAAACTGCTGGGTGGGTAGGAGCTAGGGTATGAGCGACGGGAGCTCACCCTGTCTTGTGGAGCTGGCCTTGAACCGCTGGAGTGGAAACCATTTCTAGCCAGCAGTTTCAGCATCATTAAGCCGCTGCGCCACCGCATCCCCAGGTCAGACATATTCCCCATACAGGCTTTGTCTTAGCATCTACCAGAATATAAAGAAAATAAGATTAGAACTGAATTAATTTTGTACAAGTTTTATATTTGGTTTATTTTCTGTACAGTTAAACTAAATTTAAACAACTGAATTTTTTAATATCAATTTCAGCCTTCCTGAAAACAAGCTTTCTCAAATATGGCCAAAGTGAAGAGTACTTCTGCTATGTATATTATTGTAACCCAGTTGCTAATCCAACATAATGAATCTAATTGCCTATTGGAAAAGAGAAATATAACATAGATAATGGGAAACAATTATAAAAACTATTCATACTATGTATGTTATGGATTACTACTAAAACTGGCAAAACTAATTAATAAAATATCACTTGTAAAGAACTATATAATTTACTTCAAGTAGAATAAGGAATATTTATACTTGCTGTTCTTTTTAATTTTTATGATGATCAATGGGCAGGTCTTTCAGATTGCGAGCTGGGAAACTATAAGAGCTAGGTTCTTCCTGGGTGGTTAAAACTGCTTGGGAGGTGACTTGTGGTTGGATCCATTAGCTTCTTTGAGGAATGGGGTGGTCCCTGTGACTCTGAAGGACACAGTAGCATGTTCCCTCTTTAAGAAGCTATAATTCTGAACAATTGTCCAGTCTCCAACCTTCTTTTTTAGGGAAGATTGTTGAAAAAGTTGTGATGCAACAGTTCCAGAGTATCCTGAAGAAAATAGATGATCTGGACCCATTCTTGTTGGGTTTCAGGCCAGGACACAATACAGAGCTGGCATTGATCATGCTTTTTTGATCAGAATTAATGTAGCTTCTTCTTAGACATGGATCCTGCACCCTGACATTATTCCCCAAAGATCCATATAGTCTGTTTTGTATGGTTTTTCTGGATACACCTGTTCTTTTATTTTTCTGGCTTTGATATGTAAAAGATCCAGAATTGGGTGTTCTTTAAATCTATGTAAATATGTACAAATTTATGTGAATAAATAAATAAATGTATATTTGCTATATATGTCTGCCGTTGGCATGCAAGGAATTCATTTTGTACACATCTTTCAATATTGAATATCAATAACATATTTCCTGTGAAATGTGAAGCTTGACAGCAGTTTCTCTTTAAGTGAACTGTTAGTTAATCTATTCATCAACCTTTCCCATGTGAAACTTGTCAGTTACTGTCACAGGTGTTCACTTCATTGCTGTTCATACAAACAAGCTATTCCAGGTCCATCATCTTTCTATTTT